GGGGATAGAAGAAGGGATCCAAATACCATCAAATTATATTGTATAAAAATCACAAAAATTTAATTTTTAAAATTTAATTCTTCTTAAAAAAAACAACTATCCAACCAAAAAGAAGTCCACTTCCTTTGATATATAATTTTACCATTTATTAAAGATTTTAAATTTTGCATTTTAAAAAAAATCCCAGTGCTGGGAAAATGGAGACAAGAGGATCCTGGCACTTGCTGGCCTGCCAGTCTAGTGGAATCAGGGAGTTCCAGGTTCAGTGAGACTCTCAACTAAGGAAGGCATTTGACATCAACCTCTGGCCTCTACACACACACACACACACACACACACACACAGAACTCACAATACTAAGAAAAACATTTGTGCTCCTATGCTTCTGGTTTAGAAGATTTTTGTGCCATAAAGTATTATATGATTAACATAAGGTAGATGGAGAAACTGGCTGAAGAGACATGGGCTGTGGACAATTCTGTGAGACCCACCTCACCTGTCTAACTTCAGCCAACTGGCACAGTTCTCCAGGTCTGTTTTCCCTGAAGTAAAGGAGGTGAAAAAGAGTCCACATCGTCCTTAGATTCCCTGTGAAATTGAGGTGTAATCAGGACTATAACCACAGTGACTGGCAACAGCATCATGGGCTCCTGGCACCAGAGGCTAATTATGCTGAGTATCAACACATGGGGCCTGGAGTTGGAGGGAGGGTAAAAGATTCTTATGTTTTTCCATGCCCTGCTTAGCACTGGGGAGAACAGAAGGATAACTGGAGAAGGAAGAACAAGGGAGTGTTCTGAAGGGGATTCAAAATCCTCCCAGCACTTGCTTCCCTGAACAGCAATAAGTACCAATTTCACTATCTAGGCTGACCTGACAACAGTTATAGCATGGGATAGGATATTAGCCTGAAGAAAAAGGAACCTGGAAAAACATTCCAAAATATTTTTAAATACTTCATGAGAGCTTGACTTAATTTTGTTTTCAAATTTCATCTTATAATCAACAGAGAAATCTTAAAATATGTTACCAGCAATATTCATACAGAGCTATTATACACATTAAATTTCAGAAGTAAATGAAGACTTTCAGCCATGTATATTGAGATACTCAGCAGGATAACCTTCAATCCCATAGTCACACATTTGTATGCCTATGAAATCACAGCCAAATACCCATGTACATGAATATCTTCTACAGACAGACACGCCTACTTTTACTTGGGCATTTTTCAGTCTTACAATATGTATGAGAAAAGGGAGTTCTTTTGTATTCCCTTAATAAAATGACATTTATGGGTTATATTTATGGGCTTTAGTAATTATTATTTGTAAGGTCCTTTGAGACCCACTAATAATAGATTCTGTAGAAATGCAAATAAAAGCCCCTGTAATTTGAATCGGGCATGCTTTTGCTTGCTCCCTGAGTTTATAGTATTACAATTAATCAGTATTTGCATAATACTTTAATATACTCAGGCTTTATAAGCATCTAATTGGTTATTATTTTATTAGCCTTTATTACAGCACATAAGTAGTAAAATCCTATATCCGTGTCTATAATTTTCTTACACAGGAGTGGGACATCCTTGAGAATTCCGACAAGAGCAAGTCTCACTTTATAGAATCATGTAAATGATTAACAAAAATTGCCCTTTAGCTCCAGGTCAGCAATGTTTGATCTGTCAGAAGAGCAGCTTGTTAATTGCTGATGCTAATTTTTGCACACTCACAAGCACTTGGATTGAAATGAAAGGAGGTAGCTGTCATTTTATGATGATCTCTATAAAGCTTTAAAAGCTGATTTTCTGCCGCCTCACCAAGCCTTCTGCAAAAATGCCCTGCATCTGCTGGCATACTGTGATGCCACCACTGCCAGTGTTTGAGAAAGTGCATCTGTGATTTGAATATCTACGTATGGTACTAACAGCTCACCATCACCAAGTCACATTATAGAGAAGGGATTGCAGCTCTCTTGCATAATTGACTGAATGACTCGTTCAAAATGTGAATACAACAGCTAACCTCATCACATGATCTAGGAAGCAAAGAAAACAAAGCTGGTCTCCAAATGTATCTAGAAGTTCGATTAAACCTGTCTGAACCCACATACGGGAGAATCCAATGTAAGGACCTTGAGTCTGGGGTTGGGGCAAAATACTAGTGTGGTAGGAAGATGGACTCTGGCATCAGACAGACACGGATTTGAGTCCCATCTCTACCACTCACCAGCGTGTGACCTTATGTAAGTTACTTTCTCACATGGAAAATGAAGGCAAGAAGGGTAGTGACCTCACAGAATTACTGTAATGATTACACAAAATAACGAGATAAAGTGCTCAGGGTTGTTTCTGACACACAGTAACTAAGAGTGGCCACAACAGTGATAATAATAGTAATGGTGCCCGTAGCCAAGCTTAGGAGATAGTCTCTCAATCTGAACTAATGAATTAAGAAAAAAATTTTAAAAAGTAGTCTGTCCATTGTTCCTCTTGAAGTGGACACATACTGACCTGCAAGATAGAGAGCAGCTGCCACTGTACCCACTGCAGTCCTGAAACGAATATTATCTACATTTCCACAGATGTTTCAGCATTCCTGAATTAGAAACCAACTACATAATGCCAGGTGTGGTGGTACATGCCTGTAATTCCAGCACTTAGCAGTCCAGTGCCAGCCTGAGCTACATAATGAGGCCCTGTCTCTAAAAGAAAAAAAGTAATTGAAAAAAAAAAACCCAACTATAGAAAACATTGGCATTAATCAGCTGAAGGCTAAAAGCATGGTTAGTGTTCTGGTCACAGAGAGCCTCAGTCTCCCACCTATAAGATAGGGATAAGAAGACCACATCACAGGTTTTTTGAGAAGTAAATGAAATATTCAACATGTGGAAAATGGGTATCTAGTACAGCGCCTGACCACAGATTGGTTGACTGATAAATTTTAACTATTACTTAATATTTTTTGGTGAAAACATTCAGGGAAGTGGATCAGCCCACAGGCACCACCAAAAAGAAACACAGCTGAAAACAGCTCATTTTCCAGTTTTCAAGATTGTTGGGTGCTGAATTTCCTATTAAATAATAGGGAGATGGAGGGTAGAAGGCTAGAACCAATGGAAGAGTGGCTTCTCCATTAGGCGAATCAGCGCATCTGACACAGGCATGTTTTTTCTAATCCTACTCAGTGACTCCAGCTTATACTGGGCATTGTGTTGCCACAATTCACTCCTGTCCTTCTGAGCACTCTTCACTAAAATAAGAAAGACCTCTTCCACAGTTCTATCCACAAAGCTTTGCTTCACCACCTGACATAGCTACTGGGAACTGAACCCGGGTCCTCTGGAATAGCAGCACGTGTTTTCAATTGCTAAGCCACTTCTTCATCCCCTCTACACTGTTTCTTGAATTCATCCCTTTTCCCACCATATCTTCTATCAAATCTTTATTATTTCTCAACATTGTAAGAACCTTTTAATCTGCTCTGTGTAAGCAGATTAAGACTGTGGAGACAAATCAACACTTGGTTTATGGAGTGCCAGAAAATTCTAGGAAGGGCTAGAGTCCAGGGCCAACAGGACAGTATAGGGGGGCCAAAACAATATGGTGCTGGGGCCCATTCAAGGTAAGGCTGCTACAAGTTACAGAAGCCCAGATTCTAAACTGAGGGTCTGCCCTGAAGAACTGAGTCCTGGCATTGAGACTACAGGAAAGCTCTTTTGAAAGCCGTAAGAGGTAAACCTCATTATTCACAGGGAGACAAATCTCTGGGTCCTGGCCTGGTCACAGTGCTGTCAGATCATGTTACTTCCTCAACCTTCCCCCATTGCCTATAGTAGCAACTCCTCAGTTCTGCACTGAAGAGACCTGGCTCCAAGTATCCTGCCACTTCCACTCAAACCAAAACTTCTTGATCTGTCCTATGCTTACCCAGGCCGTCTCTCTTCCTTCCTCCCCCTACATGCTCTGCCAGTCATGTATACTTGGGCTCTTCAAGCCCAAAGGGTGATTCTAACCTCAGAAAGAGGCTTTTCAAGTTTGACCAGCTGGAAACAATCTCATCATCAGCGTTCTCCCAAACTGTGTACCACTTTTTCTTCAGCTGTTTAAATATAGCTTATCTCTCCTCCAAGGGTATATTATATTTATATACTCAACAAATATTTGGTGGATGGATGAAAGAACGGCTGAGTAAATATTCAAGACTAA